AATATGTCGGCGACTGAACGGCGAGCCGCCATTTATGTCGGTCATGATCCAGAATAAATTCTTTATAGAACAATAGTATATGCTTAGCTAAACGAAATGTTTAATAAAGTTATTATACTAATGTAATCTAACCGCTCGCTTGTGGATCTCATTACAGGTAGACCATAACTGACAGAATGGTATATAATTTTCCTCTTATACGACTGTAATTTGGATGATGGGTGTACCGAATAGAAGAGTGTGGATTATAGCCATTCTGATAGCCACAACGTGTTTTCTAAGTTTTGTAAATAACTTGTATTATTTATTGATGTAAATAGCATAAGTGAAACAGGCAATATTGTTTGCAAATAAAAACGCAGGCTGCAAAAATGGAAATGACACAGATACGTTTAGGTCATGACATCTTTTCTATGGTTCAAATATAACTTGTACGGCCTATCAGTGCATATAGTGAAAAAACAAACATTAAGAGAGTTACACGGGAGCACTGATCGACTTTTTTGTCTTATTTCTTGCAAGATTCTTGTCTCTTGACATTTCAGAGAAGAATATTTTTAGAGTGATCGACCGCAAGTTGAACACCAGAATTTTAGTGTGGAGTATGTTTTAATTTTTTAAAGGCAAAGTATGCAAACCTCTAAATATGTAAATATCGCATCCGCCCATAATATGTGAACCTGCACAAACCGTCAATATCTAAATATTTTAAACATCTAACCATTTAGCAGGGCTATAAAATGTGAATCTGCACAAACTGTAAATATCTAACCAGCCCATGGCATGAGCGATTTAGCCACAACGTGTTTTCTAAGTTTTGTAAATAACTTGTATATAACTCGCCTGTTATTCTTAAATAAATTTCATCAACTTTTAGTCGCTGGACGACATTCTGAAAATGAATGGTACCCGAAATAATTTCAATGGCAAAACAAAATAACTTTAATCGATAAAATGTGACATTAATAATTAAATGTAACAGTGAAAACGGTGAACTTTAGATAACGAAAACTTTATTTTAGTGACTATAACCTATATCTCTCTTGTTAGAGTGATTAACAATAGAAAATCAATTTTATTAAAAATGAAAATCTCTTCTAGGAAATAATTTACATTTGTTTTAATGACTTCTTAGTTGTTACGAAGGAATCGCCTGATGGCAATGAATATAAGGATTTCCAGAGTTCACAAAGCAGATGATGGGAATGGTCATTTCATTACTCACTCGCGTAGATTCAATGAGAGGATGATTGTTTTCTGGTTGTGGTAAGGTCTGGTTGAGTGAAGTCTCAGTCGTGAAGGATGGCGAAATATTCTATCTAGATTAACACATAGATCCCTTAAGGTCACAGTCACCCAGTTATGACTGGTGAATCCTTATTGTCGAAAAAACGGTTAAAACGCTGAAAAACATAGTTAGTTGAGGGGCAACAACGGATCAATGTTCGAGGAGGAGTGAATAGCTCGGTTTCCGCCATCGAATGAAAATACCATACAGGATTAAATTGATAATCTAATGCTGTGTTTAATGTTGATCTGGCTAAGACGAGAGAAAAAATCAAAGTGAAGGCATGTGCATCAATCAAATTGTTGTCTCCATCTGTGCATCATTCATGCAATACGAACGAAACCATGTATCCTTGTCGATCACCATCGAGGTGATGGGGGCGATTTTTGTTGACAAGACCAATGTAGTGAGAAGGTCTATTTGCAGTGTTTAATTGCTGAAACTAGACGTGTTTGATCGAGATTTAGACTTGCCTTCTGTACTTGAGTATGTTTCGAAAATATTTGTTGAATAACTGATGACCAGACATAGTCACGAACAGTCGTCGATAAAACTGCAAAGAATTAAGTAAGCGGGCCATGCCGTAGCAATGGTATTCTTGCACCAGCGTATGCAGTTTTTCACGCGCTATCCGCTGGTGGTTCGGCTTTTCCGAGAACAATCAAAATAAGAAAGTTCTATCTCGATCCTTGAAAAAAAAACGAAAAAAATAAACGTTTTATTCTCGATTTCTCGTAAAGTTGATTCCGGTTGGTCAGGTTATGCTATTCAGATCGAGTCCGGGGAAGCTTCGTTCGAACGAGCGAAGAATTCTCTTTCTTCTGGTATTTAAACTGACGGTTAAAAGAGAAAGATACTCTTTCAATCTGACTTGAACTGCGAGGATCCATTCGTCAAAATTTTTGCATTTTTCCTATCGACCGCCTAGTGACTGCACCGATCGTGGCCCAGCATAGGAGGATCCGAAAAGGCTAATATTTTAGTTTTTGTATTACAACTACTTAACAATTAATTTAGAACAGGTAAATCCAAAGTCTAACAAATTCCGGGGACCAGGTGTATCGTTTCTGCTAGGTTTTCTGCGGACCCTCTCTTAATAATCATCAGTCACAAACAGTCGGACCCTCACATCCACCCCGTCATCCCAACACCCTAACTTTCCGCCAGCTCAAACAAATGCAATAACAATTTGCATTTAGAGGTTTTAGATGATGCTGACTAAGATCAAAACATCAGATTAAATAATTAAATTCTACCAAGTGGTTCGGGTTCTTGATGCCCTCATAGATTTTCTTTTAAATAGTTAAATGAATTGTGTACATCTTGGTACCCTCGTCATAGTCTACTTTATCAACAACAAAGTTACTACCAACTGGCGGTAAAACTTCATCTTCAGAAGGAATCGCCGACATCGATCATATGTCGATCCCAGTAGACTCTGTGAATGGTCGGTCGATTATTTCGATAACACATAAAGTCTTAACTTCATCAGCCGGTTTCTTCTGAAATATTCTTGTTACTGTTTGCGTTTCGTGACTGAAGTCATGTCATAAGGTGTTTTTACTTTCCCAATAAAGTTAGGATCATTACCAATTTTTTCGGCAGCAGTGAATAATAGTGTTCCACGTTCACCATAGTCTTTTAGAACACGACTCAATCGGTCATAGTCACCAATCTTCATATTGGTGAATGGCTTTTGATCATTGACAGTGATATCCTCATGATTCGGTACTCCGTAAATGTCTCGTAATTTTAGTTTCACATCTTCAATATTGATACGATAACATAGACGTTCGTTTTGCGCATTCGTAAAAGTGTTTATATCCCTTTTGAAGGCTTCATTATTGGCATCATTACGATAATCAGCTGATGATTTGAAAAAATATTCTTTTCGATGACTTGAACATCTCTCTAATTGCTTTTGCAATTTTTCTTGCTCTTCTGGCGTAATTGTACCATGGAGTTGTTTTTTCGCTAATTCTTCCAGCTCTTTAAAATCATCCTCTTTTATTGTATCTCGTGCTGCATCTCCAGTGCTTCCTTTTTTAAGATTTCCAATCATATTTTTGACGTTCTCGTTGAACTTCTCTTCACATGCTGTTTTAACTGTTTTCCATGAATCATTAAATTGTTCTTGCGTTGGACCACCTGCAGTTCCAAAGCGACTGACCAACTTTTTTACTGCTTCTTCTTGCTTTTCTCTAGGCAAATTCTCAATTTTCTTCAATTCAGCTTCAAATTCTTCCCTCGTGTCACGTGATATATATTTGTCGAACTCTTTCATCACTTTGTCATGCAGAAAACCATCTCGAGCTTTCCCAATTTGATTGAGCTTCTCTGTAAACACTGCTTTACCAATATCATTATACGCTTCTGGAGCAATATCGATCTTGTCGTTGATTGCTAGTCCATCAGCAGTACAAGTAACTGAGCTTATAGTTTTACCAATCAATTCGAAGAATTCCGTACGATTTTCAATTTTGTTTAAGTTTCGAATCATGTAGGCTTTTTTATCCGATGTTGAATGTTCTCTTAACATTTTTGACATTTCTTCTTTCGCCTCGTCGGACTAAAAAAAACGATCAGTGACTATGACTATTAACTTAGAATACTGCTTACTTCAAGACTTTTTTTCATTTGACTCAAGTATTGCATTTGTTCTGATTCGAAAACTCCTTTGATAGTTTTTGGTTTTGTACAAACATTGACCAACATAAATAGACCCATTGATAGCTGATAATAATCATACCATGTACGTTCTCTCTTGGCCATCAGATCAAAAATAGATGAGATGAGTGCAGACGAACTCGATAAAATAGTGAAAACATTCGTCACAGCAAACATAGTTCTATGAGCTTTACTAATTTCTAAAAATGAATATAGATTCTTCCAGTAGAATAATATCATGTGATCAACTCACTTTCCATCACTTCTGCATATGTTTTTCCTTGTCTTGCATATTTAATGGCCTGTGTTCTAAGATAATCAGTATAACTAGATAATCCTGCAGAAATCAGAATAAGCAGAATGCTTTCATCATGTAATGTCTTGTCGTAGATACCAGTAGCAGCTCTAAAGCAAAGAGAAGATATTTTCAATAGTTAGAAATTCAATCTGAACTCACCCGTATAGACTGTATCCGGAAAGAATAAAAGAACCTGTTTGGATTACGCTCATAGCTCTTGCAGAAAATAGAGCTGGAGAAAGAAAAGTGACAACACCTGTCACAGAGAGTACGATTCCACCAACCATCACAACTGTGTCAGTCACATCTTTGATACGTTTGAGTAAGCCTGTAGAAGGTGTTTCATCTAATTCTAATGGTACTCGTCCATCACTTGTGTTTGCAGGCGTATAAGTTCCATTTTTCGGAGCTAATATAGCAGCTTTTGGTAATTTGTTGTTTTCTTTATAATCTTGAAAATTAGCATAAACTCTACCATCTTTATCGATGAATTGTCGACGGTCGTTTATTACAAAAACTAAAATATGATGATAACTAGGATATAGTCTCTAAAATGTTATTCTTACCTGGTTCTTGACTGAGATAGAACTTTTTATCATCCTCTGCTTTGGTTGCCATTGATGTATAAATGACATTTAAACGAATATTTTCAGGGATGTCAGAATGCTTGATAATCACTTTCTTTAGTTGTCGAGCGTGAAGTCGTTCGTTACGATTATATGTTCTTAAAGGACATGAAGGAGCTGCTTTGTTACCATCCTAAACCAGGCGAGTCATTACATTTTTAAAATAAAAACAAAAAGCAAACCTGCGGAGTTCTAATACCGTATATTGTCACTAGTATACGTAATTCCAAAGCATCTCGATCTTCAGATTTGTAAGTGAACCATTCTGTACGATTATTATCTTGCACATGTCCCTCTTGCATTCTGATGGCATCTTCTTCCCACTTTTGCAGTTCTTTATCCTTCCAGTCAAAGTAAGTTCGACCTTCAGGATTTCTTACAGGAGGAGAGACGAATTGCGGTGTCCATTCACCATCCGTTGGAGCCATGTGTTAGGTTTATCACCTAAAAAACTAGAAAAAGAAACACCTGAATACTTTTAGAGAGAAGAACCAATTGACTTCCTTTTTATTGATAATGCTACCCAGGTCAACTATCTTGCAAAAATCGCGACATGACTTGCGATGAAAAGTCACGGCGTGAACGCGTCACGCGAATAGCAGTCTAGTCGCTAAATGTGACGCTCTTACCGCGATCGCTATAAATTCGCGATGAAGTGGAATTTCTGCTATACTTTCGCTAGACTCGCGGCGTGACTCGCTAAGTCGCTATATGAGTCCCGCTTTCTATCCATTAAACCAGAGCGAATCTTCATTCTCGCTATAGGAATCCCTATGTCCCGACATGAGTCCTACATTTTATGGAGAAAAATCAGCGCGACAGACTGTTCTCGCTACATGACTCCTATAATCGCTACATGAGTCCTACTTTCGCGGAGCGAATTTTTTCATTCTCGCCATTATACTCATTTTAGCGTAAAACAGAAAAATAAGCAGCAGAAGAAGAGTAATATCAGAGGTTTGCATTTCAGGGAGGAAGGATACTTTGTCAGCATCCAGTTTTTTGGCACTTAAGTGCACCATGTTTTACCGGCTTACTCTTCGGAACATGATGCACGTAACAAGTACACAGTTATTTCAGAACAGCATGAGTGTCATCCATTCAAAACGTCCATTTTGGGCCGTCTAGATAAAGGGATAGAAACAGAAAGCGATCCGACACATTCAAAAAGTACAGGTGATCTATGTTGTTTTCATAGATCTTATAATTTTTCTTTTATCCGCTGGAGAGATTAGCAGCATTCATCCTATACTATTTTTACAAGGAATTTATTTTTACAGAATATACAGAGCCGTTATTCTATAAAATACTCGGACATTTTAAAGAGTTATATCGAGAAAAGTGACATACTAGCACGCGTCTTATGTGGATGACCCCGTATCTGGTGGAAAGTGAAGAAGTCCTTTCACATTTTCTATTGTTACAAAGTTGAACTAAATGGTTTTTTTGAAGTATGGCTAAGTCAAAAGGTATTTTGAAAAATCAAATTCGAAAGTGAATGCTTCAAGAATATCATCAACGGTTGATCTAACGGTATCCACCTATATTTTTTAATTCTGGTTTGCCATGAGACTGGAATTAGATCTCAAAATATATGTGAGATAGATTGATATCGTATTGCTCGTCTATGGGTTTTACCGTAAGCAAACGTTTGCTGTATGTGATGAAACATCACGCTTGTACTCACAGAGGATGTGTATCCGAGAAATACTAACGCTATGAACAGTTCGTTGCTAGAGCCGAGAGGTAATCTAGCATCCTGTGAATGAGGTGCTCTGGAACTGTGCAGCTATCCTTTGTGCGTCAAACAGGACCGTGACAAAGTATCCTTCCT